AATTGTTGAAACTATATCTACTTACAACTTCTGGTGGTGAATGTCATATGGCTTCTTTGTGTTTGCATATTTGCTACTTAAATCGATTACATGGATATGTTGCTTGACGGTAAAATTTTTACAGAATGCTTGAGGTACCTTCTCTCCTTAAAGATTTAATTGTATGGCATTTTACAGCTTTGTTTAACGTGATTATTAAAAAGTGTTGGGTATCTGCACTGAGCGGCGGAATTAAACGATCGTTGGCTGACAAAATTGAGCCATTTGTTTGACGAGAACATGGTTTCTATTAAAAAGGACGTCTTGTGTTCTTTAACGGTCTATATTCTTGGTGTTTTTTACTCTTGACTGCAAACAATTGTTACGTCACATCATTGTCGATAATGACCCATCCTCTAGTGATAGTGAGTAATGTATCTACGGTGGTCATAGGATAAAGAGCATGAGTGTGGTATTTTTACCAACTGATAAATCTTACGTGCTCTATCTCGTGGCTAATCCGAATCTCATGTGTAGTACGTTTAGCTGTGCTCATAGAAATGTATCTACCTTAAATTGAGGTATTCTGAGAATTCTCGGTTAGTATATCAATTCAACTACTTCTAATGATCATAAAGAGGCTACATAGTGTGGTCACGTCTGTACGACCGAGCCATGTTGGCTCAAAGAAATGTTCCCGCGTCCACATTTCGACCTCCAGACATCCAATGGTTAATATACATCTTCTTACTTATTGTATTTTCAGCCCCAAGAATCATGCTGTGAGGGATTAGTGCCACTAAACATTTACGATTTGATGTAAACATAGTTCGTCATCATGTGTTTCCTTTTTGGTTTAGATAATAGATTTATGACCATTCTATTGGTTCACTGTACCTGAACAGTAGATAGTGAATGTTATTAAATATTCTGAACCTCATGGCTTGGTCCAGTCATATCACATCTGTTGGTTGTCGAGTGTAGTTTATATCAACTTGACATAATCTTATTGACCTTATATTGACGGACTGAAATATTCAAAGTGATATATTTTTCCGATTAAATTCCAAACTTTGACTATGTGGGCAAGTAATTATAGTTCGTGTAATGCAAATTAAACTTCAGTGACCTGAACGTTTAAGTTAAGTTATCCTGCGTCACAGTTTCAGAACGGAATGGTTGAGAAGCCGGAGACAAATGTGCATAGTGACCAGGATATTAGCGCCCACATATGACAAATGAAGTCGTTACATATGAATGATTTATTTCGTTATGAAGAAAGTCGAGGAGCAAAAGTTACACTGATGGTCGACTTCATCATATGGTAGTTCAATTAAGTATACTGAGTGCTCCGCATTAGTCGTCCTCGGCCTGGAAGTTAGGCAAATGATGAGACATACACTGACCATTCCCCTAAGGTAGAAATACATTAAAGTCGATGTATGGTTTGACCGGGGTTTGTTGTGGATCTCAGCAGAAATCATTGAATATACGTATCACAATATGTTCAGTCATACATCAGTGACATTACCCTTGAAATGGCTTCTGGGCCATACAACGCGACAGAACAGAGCGATGAACGATTGGATATAACCTGTTCATGTTTTACACAGTCACTAATCAGGAAACATGCTATTTCTGATGAAAGGGATATTTAAATGAGTCTCTTCATCTATTGAAATCAACAAAGTCAGTATCAGTCGTGAATGTTCACTGAACAGTTAACTATTTTGAGTTACATAATACTACTAATCCTACCAAAGTTGGTTGTCAGGACCTTATTGAATCAAGTCGATCACAGGGTTTTTTCTTAATGCTGAATTTACGGGCATACAAGCAAACGAACGTTTTTAATAGGTCACAACAAACAAGAAATATAGTCCTCTGAACGAGAGGCTAATACTAAGGCGCGAAACGTCGGAAATCTAAAATTCTGCTAATTGAGATATTGCAAATGTATAAAGATACAACAAATGCTATGATGTGCAAAATATACTGACTTCTTAAGGCTTTAAATAAAAGTGAATGTTACTAGCTTATCGAATAAAACTTCTTAGTAGCCAGTTCAAGGAAGTATATTTCCACAAAACTTGAAATGGGAATTTCAAATCTTATCGCACTGATTGCTCAGTTACTCAGCTTTATGTACAACATGATGAATTTGACATTATAAATTGCTGCAACGTAAAACATCCAGAGGATGCTGACAAAGAAAATGATTGAGTCAGCTAGGAAAATATGAGGTAAGTCCCTATGAACCATCAGACGATTTCACGGCTTTATAGCTTTAAGCCTTTTACTTATAGTAAGTTATTGAAATGGTGGTGATAGAATTCAATTACTGCGTTTTAGTGATCCCAGTGTAAAATACTTTTTCAAGGTCGTTAAGAGCCTAAACAAAATCATGATTGCGTAGGAGTTTTCGATTGCCTTTAAGTTCGAGTGCTTAAAACAAAGGCAAAAGATGTATTTTAATTGTTGCCTTTTATCTTATATATTTTTAAATGTTATCTGCAACGGGAAACAATATAATTGAGGTCAATCAAAAATTTTATAAAACAATGTATTATCAGTACTCAGTTTATTATTTATTTATTTATTTTAACACATAAGTATATGTACAGGGAGGCACCAAATACATATGCGCCACACGAATCTCATTTGATTTGTGTGAGGGCTGTGATACTGCCCGGGTGCCCAAACCGAAGCAGGTGGATTTCTTAGGGGGCCACACCCCGAGCCTTCGACCTGGACGTCTGACCCACAAGGCAGTGGAGCATCGTGAGGAGATGCAGTCCCATGGTAGTCAGCCGGTGACCAACGATTGGTTCATACGCCATTTGTTCCTTCAGGATACTGGAGCCAGCCCATGTGCACCATTGGTTTGGGGTCCGGTTAAAGCGCCGGACATTCGCTTTTCGTCCTCTCATTTTTGTTAACAACACCCCCGCCACGTGAAGGCAGTGAGTAGGACTTCCCTGGCAGAGGCTATATACACATGGTCATGTGAGAGCATTTCGAGAGGGAAAGCGGACTCTCCCCACTCTCGGCCGTACCAGGGCATTTGGAGGCTCAGTTTATAGTGAGTACTCCATGTGACTCTGATAAAAAGACACTCTACTTGAGCTTCGCCATTCACTTTTCAAAGCAACCCTTGATGAATCGTGCATCAAAGAGCGAACACAGTCCAGGTTACTGGTCAACCTTATCAGTACCACTCTTCTGAACGATGTAACTTCAGCCTCTTCTGTAGAAATTTTCAAGATAAGGCTTAAAAACCATATTAACACCTGCAGTTAACTTTTATTGCCTTGAATGGCTGTTGCTTACATGCTTTGATGGTGGCCGAGGCTTTTCGCATACTAGTCTTGCTTGCCGCATGTCACGCGATTTATCTATTATTATTAGTATCTTTCTATATCTTTTTTTATTGTTTATCACCTTTGTTTGGTCTCCATTTGTTCTTGCATGTAGTTGCTTATTTTTTGCACAATCAGTTAACAAATTTACTTCGAACTTATGTACTCCCTCTAACAGTATTCTACTTTTAAGGTACTTCATATTACAACCCACTAGTTGGCTTCTCTATATCAAGGTAAATCCTGGTTTCATCAAACCCACTGCCATAGAACAGATGCATCCATTCATAATGGAAACATACTAGTCTTTAAATAAGTCTAATTCAATGGGATTAGTGCAGATGATTTACTAGACTATCTGCGTTGGTCGATACTCAAAACAAAGAATATTACATTGGCACTGAAAAGCAAACACTAGTGAAATGAAAGACCTACATTAAGTTTTCGCCAAAATATTATATACTGGAACAAGAGAAAATTGGGTTATAGTCGAAGTTCTAGCACTCGTGCGTACACTTTGTTGATGACTACTCCGAGAAATAAAAGAGAATCAAGAAGTTTCATATATGTTGAGCAGGTGAATATATATCTACTAAACCTTGGGTAATAGCACTGATTCTTACATCTGTGACCGCGTGATTTTCCGAATAATAGAGATATATGAAGCTCCTCATTGTCGTCTTAGTGATTTCTGGAGATAATTTAAACATAACAGAGAATATGAATAATTTACGGAGTTACCTATGGATTTCGCCATTGACTTTAAGCTAAGTAGAATTTTCTCTATCTAAACTAAATTATGGAGTAGGAGAGAAAGGAGCTATTGTATCTAGTATCAACATATCTCTAGAGTTATTATTTACAAACGTAAATCCAAACAAACTAGTTTTTAACTTACGTCTGGTATTTTCTATCAATAAGCGGACGTTGGTCGATGAACATCTAGCAACCCTATCTGTTATTTTCTAAGATTACATTAAAAGTAACAACCGACTCAGTTTTGTTGATTTTGTGACTGTCAGTTCCAAGATACTTTACGACACTACATCTTACCTTTAAGTCTATCATTTTGGCTAGCCAAAAACCTCTGTTCCAACTTAGTGGGCCACATGTAGATGTAAGCAACACTAACATAGAGTTATCAGAATAAAACATGCGGGCAAATAACTTTGCTGCTGTTCCTCACGATAGTGGAAAATGTAAAGACGCGGAAATTTGAATACTCTAACTTCAGTGCTTCTATGTAAAACAATTAATGACTTTAATCTACCAAATGTCTAACTCAATAGTGTATTTCAGAAATTACTTTAAAAATCAGTGTATTCAGTATTGAATCATGTGTATTATAAGGATGAATAATTAATTAAATCAATCTAATTAGTACTTGACGTTTCAAGAGAATTCTAGCTTGTGAAACGTTTTTGATGTGTAATTAGTTAAGATCGTATCCCAATGTATACATACATAATTTATTTAATGAACTATCAAGAATAAGAACAACACGAGTTCTAGTATAGTCATGAAAAAAAAACTTCATTTTATATTCTTTCTTTAGACTAGTGTTTTCCACAATATTCAATTTGAGTTATAAATAAGTCTTATTAAGAGGTGATTTTTCGATAATTAACTACAACGTGATAGTTATTTGTTTATCATTGTCCAATGACTTCAAAAATGTTTGTTGAATCATACGGTGATGAAGTGTCTCGTGTATTTACATTGGAAAAAAGTCAAAATCAATCAATTAGCTCATTATTTGATCTACACTTATCATGGGTGACTTTTAAGGTTTATCAAATGAAAAAAAAATTTCATAAAAATATAATTTTAGAAGTTTTTTCTTCCTGTGGGATATCCATCTAGTGTTAGCGATGATTATTTAGAATATCAAATTTGGGATACTATACAGGTAGGTGATTTTTTTCTTTCATTGCTAAAATTTCATTATTTAGTGTACTGTTATGTTTTTTTTTGTTATAATAGTTGGGTTCTTTGAGTCTACAACACCTCTCTAGGATATGTACTCGGATTTCAAGAAGTACTATTGGGTCGTAGATTTGAGTCTTTAACTTATTTACAAAGTATAGATGTACATACTTGGATTTGAACTACGTTTGTTGTGGGGTTATTGATACGATCTGTCTGCCAAAACTTAAGTTGGTGTGACGTTCGGTGCTAGGTAGTTGTAGGTGAATAGTCAACATGATATTCTAGACATAGATTTCTCCTTAGTTGGCACTTGTTAGCAAGGTGTGCCTGTAATCCGGTAGTTTTAATAGCCCTCACATAAATAGTATGGCTGGAAGCCAAATACATAATTCAGTTGTTGATGAATGGGTAGCAGTAAGACACAAAAGACCTTTCTTCTGAACGGTGATTCGGATGTTGTCGTGTATGATGAAGTTTATAGTGAAGTAGATATTTTCATTCACGGTGGCTGCGTTGCATTTTTATCAGTTATGCACTGTATAAAGTATTAAGGTTGGAGGAAGTCAACAGGAAACCACGAACCTAAGTTTCATGCTACTTAGCATTCGACAGCAACATTTACCTGTAATCTTGAGGGAACTGATACTACCTGACGGATTCGATTCTGTGTCACCCAGCTTTACAGTCAAAGACGTTATAGAAAATATCCAAGGTTAAAACATCGCCACTCTATATCGCAAACTGACTGAAGCTGAGATTGTATCATTTTACCCATTGATTCTAATGGTTAAAGGTGCACTTCAATACCCGAATATCCTAAGTTCGATTTCAAGTAAAGTCGTAGGTGTGTACTGTCAAATAATTCTATACTAGGATGAAACATCTATCTAGTGCTTCTTAGTCTTTAATGGTTATCCCAACTGAGATAAATTTGTCATGAATACTGTCTATATTCTATATCGTTAATATGACTTCCTTTTTTATTTTATACAGGCATTTGCCAGCAGTATCACTGGTGCTCTTGCATCACAAGCAGTTTTAATCGGTGTAGGTGTTGGAGACTCATCAGCTACCATATTAAGTGCTAGTTTAACGTGGATGTTCAAAGGTACTGTTCATTGGATTATTTAGAAATATTTTATAAAATTCAAATCTTTTTACTGATGGTTTTGTTGTGTAACTCTGTAACTTTCAATTTCTCAATAAAACTCTGTGAACAATACAGACTGAAGTCTGTCAGTGAAATTGTCAAAAAGTATCAATGTACACTCCGACCGTAGCCTGATCAGCGCTAATGGGTTGGTGTTGGACTAAACCTCAGCACGAATTTGAAAAACTCGTTTGGCATTTGCCAACTTAAGTCACTTGTGGCAAAGGAGAGATATCCGTCTATCAATCAAGGGACGAGTATACTGCGCGGTAGTTCTTTCAGTTTTACTTTACGGCTGTGAAACGTGGTCACTAAGAGTAGAAGATATTCGTAAGCTACTAGTATTCGACCACAGATGTCTTAGAAATATTGCTCGCATTTGCTGGGATCACCGGGTAAGTAATAACGAGGTTAGACGCAAGGTATTAGGGAATGATGGTAAATCAATTGATGAGGTTATGAATCTTCATCGACTGAGATGGTTGGGCCATGTGCTGCGTATGCCTGAACACCGATTACCATGACGCTCAATGTTAACCGGTGTTAGGGATAATAGGAAGAAAGTTAGGGACGACTAAACCAAAACGTGAAATCAGTCCTTGAAGTTGCTAACTTCTACTCTTAGCCATGTTGGTAGATGCAGAGTACTTGGTTAGGTTCCGTGTGACTATCGTAACCAATGGTTGGAGACTCTTGGTGAACATGGCTCAGAATCGATCACAATGGCGTTGGTGTATACACTCTTTGGTGAAGTTTATTAATGATATTATTATTATCACTATTGTTCATTTTTTGATTTTCCAGATGGTTCAGGTATGATTGGAAGAATTCTATTTGCTGGTTATCATGGGTAGGAATCGATTGATTTTTTCAAATTAACTATATAATACTACTTATTATCTTGTAGAATTAAATTAGACTGTGATTGCAAATTTTGGAGGTAAGCAGTTATGTTATGAACACTATTTTATATTTAACTCATTCATGTACTTACTAGTGACTAGATTCATGAGGTAATTCTTGGAGTTCTAGTGAGAATTTGTGATTAGTGAAGTTCGACGATATCTGTTATGTAGCAGTTACTCACCGAAGACAGTTGGAGCTAGTGGCATTAACACCGTCGAATATCGATTCGATGGTCTGGAGGCTTAGCATTCATGCTCAACTCTGAAGGTTCTGTGTTTGAGTCCTACGTACAGGATTGTGAGTGAGTATTGTTGAGGAGTCATGTACTAAGACTAAACGGCCGTCCAGTGTCCCCAGATTTTCAGTGGTGGTCTAACATTGATCGTATCATGATCCCAATAATAAGAATAACTTTTCTAGTATTTGTATTGATAATTTCGAAACATAATTATGTACTTTATATTAGTAAATGATTTAGTCAATCGAATTTCAACTGAGTAATGATCATTCTAAACTTCATTGCATTTTCGACTAGTCGGTCGACATAGATCTAACATAATGACGATCTACCTATCTATCCACCAAGTAATTTTATTCCGACTTGATTGGGGTGCAAAATTACCTTCTACAATAGGGATATACGTTAAATTGTGTGAATTGACGGAGTTAAAAGTAGAAAATGTTTTGACTATTTAACGTGTGCCTAGTATCTGATTGTGTTGATTACAATATTCAACTTTTAAGCATTACGTCTCACTTGACTGTGTAGTTTGGAGCAAGGTTTCAGTAGACCTGGGACAGTGTTTTGCGCACTAGAATCGTTGGCTATAGTGACACCTGAGGAGGAAACCAAAAGAGGAAGTTTAGTGTAGAAAGTCGATGTAGGAGGAATAATAGGAATTAAGCAACAATGCCAGAATGTTTGGGATACGCTTCTCTTCCTCTAAATGCAAGTTGTTGCTTCAGGACTGGTCTGCGTCAACACCTGAACTAAGGATAGGGAGTGAAGTAGTCGAACGCGTTGACAACTTCACTTATCTTGGAAGTCTGATCAGCGCTAATGGGTTGGTGTTTGACGAAATCTCAGCAAGGATTCGAAAAGCTCGCTTGGCTTTTGCCAACTTACGTCATCTATGGCGAAGGCGAGATATCCGTCTATCAATTAAGGGACGAGTATACTGCGCGGCACTTCGTTCTGTTCTACTTTGCGGCTGCAAAACATGACCACTAAGACTAGAAGATATTCGTAAGCTACAAGTATTTGACCACAGATGTCTTAGAAATATTGCCCGCATCTGCTAAGATCATCGGGTAAGTAATAGCGAGATTAGACGTATTAGGGAATATTGGTAAATCAGTTGATGAGGTTATGAATCTTCATCGACTGAGATGGTTGGGCCACGTGTTGCGTATGCCTGAACACCGATTACCACGACGCTCAATGCTAACCGGTGTTAGGGATTGTCGGAAGAGAGTTAGGGACGACTAAACCAAAACGTGGCATCAGTGCCTAAAGTCACTAACTTCTAGTTTGAGCCATGTTGGTAGATGCAGACTACCTGGTTGGGGTCCGCGTGACTATCGTAACCAATGGTTGGAGACTCTTGGTGACATGGCTCAAAATCGATCACAATGGCGTCGGTGTATACACTCTATACACTCTCTATCTTCTTTTAAACTAAGAGATTAAAATCGCTTCATATCTTTCTTTCTACGAACTAATTCTTTCTTCCTGCACTATCTCCTTATATGCAATTTTTTTTATATATTACCACCACTGAATTAAATACTATGAATCCGGTTTTCATCTTGTTGTGCTAATGCGGTATGGCAACATGGACCGATGCATGTATATGTGCCTGGTCCTACGTTGCAGCTGACTGACTGACTGACTGATTACGTCTCCGGTTCGATATTCATTCTATTTGATTCAGTTTAATTAACTGTATCGTATTACCATCTTTCATACAGAACAATACTGGGTAACATAAATACGTCAAACTACAAAACTGTATTAAAGTCCTCTAGTATAAGATCTAATAGTGACCTGTTATATACCTGTTTATTAATCAAAGATTGGTTGTTTAAAACAAATGGTCGATATGTTACTTCTACTTTTTTTTATTATTCATCAGTATGTGTCTTAAAGTGGTTATCATTCTTAGTTATTGATTATTTTTTCCCTTTACTTTTCTATAGATTTGTTGCTGATATCTTAAACGACTGTGCTTTATTCCTTGAACTCATTTCTCCACTATTCAATGATTTGTTTACACCATTACTTTGTCTTGCTAATGTACTTAAGGTAAGTGATATTTATTTATATTAGTTTGGATGTATTCTGTTGTTTATCCTATCTCTTTGTTGCTAAGTTTTCTGTTCTTTGAATTGTTCATAGAGAAATAAATCTTAGTTTTATTTTTTGGGGTCGCACTATGAATTTCGATGGTTCCATTTATTATTATTATTATTGGATGTTGTGGATATTGTTAAATGTTTTGGTATAGAGCGTGTCTTTACACTCTCTTGACTCCACCAGGTATCTACTCCATCACTTTCAGGCCTCGCTGTGACTTCTTCACATTCAGACTACTGAGTTTTTACCTGATGATTTCCATTTCTAACTTCGTTCAATTTGTGATATTTTGCTACCATCATCCATTTCTACGTACTTCGGTTTGGGCGCTCAGGCAGTATTCCACACAAATTGGATCACGAAGTGTGGTGCACATATATTTAGTGCCTCCTTGTACCAATGTTTATGTGTTTAAATAAATAATAAATGAATATCTGTTTCTACTAGTGGTGCTTGTTTGAATGCCGACATGAGTAATCTTCACCAGAAACCGATAAATAACCCCTCGAAGTTAGTCCTTTTTAAGCCCATGGATTGATTGAAGTCAGAAGTGTAATTTATCAAATACCAATGTTAAGAACTTAGGAAGTGGCGCAAAGCTCCTGATTCCAACTCTCAGTGAATTTGTGAATGTGCATTCCAATAGAGTATCATAATACGACAAGACAGCTGTTCAGTGTTTCCTGGTTTTCAATAAACACAAACTACTCGTCATCGCGTTTTGAATTTCGCGCAAAAATCAAATAACCGCTATCTTAAATCTGATTGGTTCGTTTGAATAGTATATTGTTACTCAATGACTAGCTACCATTAATTCTTTCAGTAAACAGTAAAAATGTGAAGTTAACATTAGTCCATGTTCATATGGAACTTCAAAAATACCGTGTTCAGCTCACATTTTATTCCTAACTATTACTTCTGACTTTAAATGTCAACCTCTAACTCCAAGTTAAAACTCAAATTCGTAACGCTGACTTTTTTTGAGTTTTTATGTTACCAATTAATTGTTCATATCACCTAGATTCTATTTGACTGAAGATTAACTTCACTTTCTCAAGACTGCTCCATGGCTCGCTCAAGCTCATCAGTGAAATATTACTTACTTACTTACTTACACCTGTTAGTCCTCGTGAAGGAGTATAGGCCACCACCCACCAGCATTCTCCATCCAACCCTGTCCTGGGCAATCCTTTCCAACTGTTTCCAGTTGTTACTCATCTTTTTCATATTTGATTCTATTTCCCGACGTAATGTGTTCTTTGGCCTTCCACTTTTCCGTTTCCCTTCAGGATTCCAAGTTAGCGCTTGTCTCGTTTCCGAAATGTATGTCCTATTCACTTCCAATGTCTTTTCCTGAAAGCTGGTTTATTCTCTCCCACAAAAGGCTGTTGATGTTGGTATCCGACCAATGGATGTTGAGTATCTTGCGTAGGCAACTATTTATAAATACCTGTACCTCTTTGATGATGGTTGTAGTAGTCCTCCAAGTTTCAGCTCCGTACAGTAGAACTGCCTTGACGTTCATATTGAAGATTCTGACTTTGATATTGGTTGAAAGTTGTTTTGAGTTCTATATGTTCTTCAATTGAAGGAATGCGGCCCTTGCTTTGCCCATCCTCACCTTCACGTCTGCATCTGAACCTCCTTGTTCATCGATGATTATCACAGGTATGTGAACGATTCTACATCTTCTAGAGCTTTTCCATCAAGTGTGATTGTGTTGGTGTTCTCCGTGTTGTATTTGAGGACCATTGTTTTCCCCTTGTGTATGTTGAGGCCTACTGATGCAGAGACTGCTGCTACACTGGCTGTCTTTAACTGCATTTGTTCGTGTGTATGCGATAGAAGGGCTAGGTCATCTGTGAAGTCCAAATCGTCTAATTGATTCTGAGCTTTCTCGAGGCTGCCTCATGGCTCGCTCAAGGTCATCAGTGAAATATTACTTACTTACTTACTTACACCTGTTACTCATAGTGAAGGAGCATAGGCCACCACTCACTAGCATTCTCCATCCAACCGTGTCCTGGGCAATCCTTTCCAACTGTTTCCAGTTGTTATTCATCCTTTTCAAATATGATTCTATTTCCCGACGTAATGTGTTCTTTGGCCTTCCTCTTCTCCATTTCCCTTCAGCATTCCAAGTTAGTGCTTGCCTCGTGATGCAATTTGATGATTTTTGTAATGTATGTCCTATCGATTTCCATCGTCTTTTCCTAATTTCCTCTTCAGCTGGAATTAGTGAAATATACTTTCATCAATATCTGATTTAGGTATTTTTGTACTAATATTATAAAATTAAATTTTTGGACCGAAAATCAACATCAACTGAAGAAATTGTTTTGTCCAATTTCAATGAGCTATACAATCATCGATTGACCTATTGTATTGAGAAACTTACACTGACTGATCACTGAGCAGTAATCAATATTTTAGAAGGTTCTAGGCGAACATGACTATATGTTATTACTCGGTTACTAATTATTGTATATTTAGATCTTTTATAGGTTCATTCATTCACACTGTTATTGAATCTCAAACTTAAACAAAACATCTATTCATTAATATCTGATTTTGATTTAGTGAAATCATTCAGTTCATCTATGTATACTGTTATATATCAGTATATTTCTTGTTTTAAATCACTTTATATCCTGTGAGATTACCTTATGCACTATTACTGATTGATTAGAATAGTAGTAGTTTATGTGATGCTATCAGATTATTCGAATTATATGTACTGATGGAGTTTTGTTCTCTGAGCTGGATGGTTTGGTCGTGGAGCTTTCATCGTTCTTCTGAACGACATCATCAGCACAAACTTCAGATAGAAGTGAAGTGTTCGAATTTCTCCATATGCGTTTCACAGCTTGTTCTGTGCACCTCGATGTTGATTGGTTCTTATTGACCTTAAATTTGTCATTGTTTACCTTTTTGTCTTGGTTTTGTCTCCTATTGGTTTGATTCTTGTTCCAATCAACATTGAGGTGCACAGAACAAGCTGTGAAACGAATATGGAGAAATTCGAACACTTCACTTCTATCTGAAGTTGGTGCTGATGATGTCGTTCAGAAGAACGATGAAAGCTCCACGACCAAACCATCCAGCTCAGAGAACAAAACTCCATCAAAATCATCCACCTGAGCTACAAATCTTCTCCACCATCTCAGAATTATATGTACATTTATTTGTAATGAAGTTAACGATTATCTAAATTCATTCTATTACGTTCAGTACTATATATCTCCAACAATTCATAAAGGTCATGATTTCAACTTCTTTCTTTTTGTAACATTACTACTATAACACTGTTAATCTTATCTCCTTTCAGTTTCCAGGGATTACTTACTTACCGACTTACGTCTGTTACTCTCAATGGAGCATAGGCCGCCGACCAGCATTCCTCAACCCACTCTGTCCTGGGTCTTCCTTTCTAGTTCTATCCAATCTTCGTTCATTCTTCTCATGTCTATTTCCATTTCTCGGCGTAATGTGTTCTTTGGTCTTCCTCCTCTGCTTAAACCTTGAGGATCCCATGTGAGGGTTTGCCTTGTGACACAGTTCGGTGCTTTCCTCAATATGTGTTCTATCCACTTCCAGTGCATCTCTTTTTCATTTCTTCCTCCGTTAGAATCTGGTTTGTTCTCTCCTACAGTAGGTTGTTGTCATTAGTGTTCGGCCAACGGATCCGAAGTATTTTGCATAGACAACTGTTGATAAACACTTGTATCATCTGGATGATGACTTTCGTAGTTCTCAAGTTTCCGCTCCATACAGCAGAACTGTCTTGACATTTGTATTGAAAATTCTGACCATGGTGTTGATTGTAAATTGTTTTGAGTTCCAGATGAATGCTGTACATATATACGTCTAATATACCCATACAAGTGTTTTTACTCTCAATCTATAAGGTGGGATACAGTAAACCATAAACTGATTTCCAATGAAGTTGGATATCGTTATTTAAACAAAGAATCTTCAACGAAATGATCATTTTCATGATAAATCGATTTGTGTTGAATAATCCCTGTATAGAGCGGAAACTTGAAGAACTACAAAAGCCATTATCCAGAAGATACAAGTGTTTATTAACAACTGTCTACGCAAAATACTTCGGATCCGTTGATCAGACACGATCATCAACTTACTGTGGGAGAGAATAAAGCAGATCCCAGTGGAGGGAAGAAATCAGGAAGAAGCATTGGAAGTGGATAAGACACACATTGAGGAAACCATCAAACTGCGTTACAAGGCAAGCCTTCACCTGGAATCCTCAAGGTCGAAGGAGGAGAGGAACACCAAAGAACACATTAAGTCGAGAAATGGAGACAGATATGAGAAGAATGAACAACGACTGGATTGAACTAGAAAAGAAGGCCCATGACAGAGAGTGGGTTGGAGAGTGCTGGTCGATGGCCTATTCTCCATTGAAAATAACAGGCATAATTAAGTAAGTAAGTATGTACAGAATTGTTCATACTTTTAATTTTTCTTATTATTTCTTCTGAATTACTTAACCAGACACATATTTTAAAGATAGCTTATATGACGAACGAGTTTCAACTGTGAATGATTATTCAACAGTATGAAGTCGATGCTGTCAGCTTAAATCTTAATGATCCAATATTATAATTTCTGATCAGATTATATGTTGAAGTTTGTAAAGAGATCTTACACTAGGTATTCAATAGTTCACATTTTAAACTATACCTTCTATACCAAATGTATACATCATTTCTTTTTTTTTTTTTAAACAAAACAAAAGTCTTTAGTTGGTGTCGCTGGTAGTGCAACACGTGCAGCTATTGTTCAACATCAAGCGATTCATAATAATCTAGCTGATGTATCAGCTAAAGATGGTAGTCAGGTTAGTTTTATACTTTCTATGTAGTTTTATTTTACTTACAACTCTATGAATTGTTCCATTGAACTACTTTTCATTCAAAGGAATTAGATATTGGAGTTAATTTGTAAAGTATCATATACATAAGCGGTACATTTCTAACCATCTAGTTACATTTATACTTTTTCAAGGCATATCATACGGAAACATATACTTATGTCGACGGATATAAGTAGTATGTAACGTCAATCGGAAATGATAAACCTAGTAGCATAAGATTAAGAAGATCGAGTTAATGAGAATAGAAGGGAAAATAGAAAGTATTATCAGAAGGGGTTTTGTGAAGATTATAGTAATTTCAATCATTAAGATCATGAGTCAGTGGACTAGTGACTGGCTTCAAGAGGTATATCCTGAAGTTCTAGTGAGAAGTGAATGACCAGTGGAGTTCAACCAGGTCTGTTGTGGGATAGTAACTCACTGAAGACAATGGTAGATGTGTCGCTCAATTTCGTGGATTAGTTGAAGTTAGACATTAACACCGTTGGATGCCGGCTCAGTGGTCTAGTGGTTAAGTGCTCGCGTGCGAAACCAGTAGGTCCTGGGTTCGAATCCCGCAGAGGACGAGGTCGTAAATGGGCACTGCTGAGAAGTCTCACAATAGGATGAAACGGCCATCCAGTGCTTCCAGGTTTTCCATGGTGGTCTAGCTTCAACTGACTCATGATCTTAATAATTGAAATAGAAAGTAGTTGTGAATTTAAAGAATCATACAAAAGATGAAAGAGAAGTGATGGAAATTTACAAATGGAGTATTCAGTGTATAATTTTCATATTCTACTAAGATACTCTGTAATTTTATTCGTCGTTTATCAGAGAGATGAGTCTGTTAAGGTGATGCATCGATGAAATACTAGTTGTATATGATAGAGTTTGATAAGGCTCAGTTATTAGATACACTGAATTGCTCACAGCAGTATATTGTACTTGTAAGGAAGAAAATAATGATCAATTACCCTTTCTGGATACATTTTTAAGCCAATGGAAAGATGGGACTATAAAGTAGTCAATTTACAGGAAGGTGATGTAAACTCTTCAGTATTTACCTACAGTTTTTGTCCTCTGTAGCACAAACAAGGTTTGGTAAAGTAAGTTATCGAATATACATTGTAGATACGTTGGAAAAAGACTCGAAACTACCGATTGAAACAATGATATTAAACGGTTACCTGCTGAACTTTATAGATCGATGTAAGACAGTCATTGTTTTTGCCATTTAGAGGAAAGTCAAATAGTATAACTTTCAGATAGACATTAGAAGTAACCATCGAGATAACATACTACGCTGCTAATTTATTGTGATTGAAAAGTTAAGCCTATAATTCTACATAGACCTAGATGATTACGTCACAACCCATGAAGTAATGCTATGGAATGAGTATTCATTCAATGAAATGAATTTTTGGTTGATACGCTAATAAAATGCATTAAACAACTTGAATGTATAGGGGGGGGGGAAGTTTGGTTCGGGATTTAGAAGTAGAATGGTTATAGTGTGAATAGAAAATTGCATTTTGGTGAGAATATCTAAACAGATTAGGATCTCTTTATAATATGTACCCGTTAGATCATTCTTGCTTAATATCATATTATTCATATAGGGTTGTAGAGATTGTTGAGTTTCATTAAGATCATGAACCGATCAATGTTAGACCATCACTGAAAACTTGGAAGCACTGAACAGTGGTTTAATCCTGGTATAGGACGATTCAATGATGTCTACCCACAATCCGTTCTACTATACGATTGCGAAACATGGCCATTAAGACCAGAAGATACTCGTAAGCTACAAGTATTTGACCACAGATGTCTTAGAAATATTACTCGCATCTGCTGGGATCATCGGGTAAGTAATAGTGAGATTAGACGCAGGGTATTAGGGAATGATGGTAAATCAGTTGATGAGGCTATGAATCTTCATCGACTGAGATGGTTGGGCCACGTGTTGCGTATGCCTGAACACCGATTACCACGACGCGCAATGCTAACCGGTGTTAGGGATAATTGGAAGAAAGTTAGGGTCGGACAAACCAAAACGTGGCATCAGTGCTTGAAGTCACTAACTCCTAAACTGATCCATGTTGGTAGATGCAGACCATTTGGTTGGGTTCCGCATGACTATCGTAACCAATGGTTGGAGACTCTTGGTGAACATGGCTCAGAATCGATCACAATGGCGTAGGTGTATACACTCTATACACTCTCTATCTTCTTTTAAACTAAGAGATTAAAATGGCTTTTTATCTTTCTTTCTACGAACTAATTCTTTCTTCCTGTGTTATATCCTTATACACACTCTTTCTTCTATATATTACCACCACTGAATTAACTACTTCTATGAATTCAGTGTTCATCTTGTTGTGCTAATGCGGTATGGCAACTTGGACCGATGCATGTATATGTGCCTGGTCCTACGTTGCAGTGACCAAATAAGGCAATATGCGCTTTACATTTCTATTATCACTAATTAGTAGCATTAGTGCTTCTTTATATTTTAAAATTAAACTGTCATGTTAAGAAGTATTTATGAGTATTGGTGAAATTGATGATTGTGAATGGTTGTTGACACTTATCAACATGGGTTACCTACAATTTTTAGAGAAGTAATCCAATGTGTAATTTAAACTTGTACCATGCATTTCCTCTATCTAATGTATTATCAATGATCTATGCCCCCAAATGCCCTGGTACGGCCGAGAGTGGGCAGAGTCCGCTCTCCCTCTCGAAATACTCTCACATGGCCACGCGTATATAGCCTCTGCCAGGGAAGTCCTACTCACTGCCTTCTTGTGGCGGGGGTGTTGTTTACAAAAATGAGAGGACGAAAAGCGATTGTCCGACGCTTTAACCGGATCCCAAAACAAATGGTGCACATGGGCTGGCTCCAGTATCCTGAAGGAACAAATGGCGTATGAACCAATCGTTGGTCACCGGCTACCATGGGACTGCATCTCCTCACGATGCTCCACTGCCTTGTGGATCAGACGTTCAGGTCAAAGGCTCGGGGTTTGGCCCCCTAAGAAAACCACCTGCTTCGGTTTGGGCACCCGAGCAGTATCACAGCCCTCACACAAATCAATTGAGATTCGTGTGGCGCATATGTATTTGGTGCCTCCTTGTACCAATGCCTATGTGTTAAAATAAATTAATAATAAATAAATCAATGATCTATTCATGTCAATTGAAATATTTGTTTAGTCCTATTATAGTAATCAAATACTTATCAGGACCTAACAGTTGATCAAGTTAGAATGTATCTGTTGTGACTTTATGACTCACTAGTTATCACGTTATTTATTCGCCAATCAAAATATGACTTATTCGCTGTTATACTGTACTTAAAACCAATGACGTCCGACTGGTCTGATCAGTTTAACGACCTATTGGTTCGTTGCTCGCTTATCCCGTCCAGCTGAGTCGAGAACGCCAACAACAGCCTCCATTATCTGAATCCTTTATTTCAGATATACTAGGTTTATATACCAAACAGACAGACCACAACACACTATAAAATAGGAAATAACATTTGTACACAATAAAGCCAAAATGTGGCTGTGAATGTGGGAGACTGTAATTAATAGACAGGGTATAATTCAAGAATGGTAAATCGTACAATACTAATCTATAGGTCAAAATGAAGCTTATAATAAGGGGAATATAGATATATACAATCTAGTTTCTGAATAATTATACCATAAGAATATATATATATATATATATATATATATATATATATATATATATATATATATACATAATATTAGTTACTAATAGATATCTAACTTGGGTAGGTTATTGGTATCAATAACAACTTTCTACTTATTACTTGCCCCTCGTGGAGGACCGTCGGCCTCCCATCAGCACGGTCTATCCAACTTTTTCCTGGGCAATCCTTTCCAGTTCTTATTCATCCTTTCCATATCCGCTTCTATTTCCTGACGTCATGTGTTCTTTGGCCTTCCGCTTTTCCGCTTCCCTTTAGGATTCCAAGTTAGGACTTGTCTCGTAATGCACTTTGATGATTTGCGTAATGTATGTCCTACCCACTTGTAACGTCTATTCCTAGTTCCCTATTTAGTTGGAAACTGGTTTGTCCTCTGCCACAGTAGGCTGTTACTGATGGTATTCATCCAATGGATGTTGAGCATATATATATATATATATATATTCGCCTCTCTGCTTCAAATTCGCTTGATATGGTTATAGTTGTTCAATCTGAGTTATTTTCATGGAGTTTTGTTTTCTGAGCTGGATGGTTTACTCGTGGAGCTTTCATTGTTCTTCTGAACGACATCATCAGCATAAACTGTTATGCCCCGATAAGCATAATGAATGATAACTCTTTGGACCCATTTATGGACCAATACTATGCGTATATTTTTAGCATATAATTGTTAAATAACTAAACTATCTGCATATTCATGTCCATCTCATTATGAGCTTTATTTTGACCTATGAACTATTATTATATGATTTACTATTCTTGAATCATGCCCTGTCTATGATTCACTACCTCCCACGTTCACAGCCACATTTGGCCAAATCTTGTACAAATGTTGATTGCTATTTTATGGTACGTTGTGGTCTGTTTAATTGGTATATAAACTCAGTATGTTTAAAATATAACGATTCATATCGCAGAGGCTGAGATTGGTGTTCTGGACCTAACTAGCTGGTCTAGGCGGGAAGCAGGACCAATAAGGACTCTAGACTGTTGGCACGGGTTTTATGACGTCACTGATTTGATTGATAATTCACTGCTGCTTAATTGGCGGTATCATTACTTATCCACTAACAGGGCACTCAGGTCACAAACTATAACACAATGTCGTAGTCAATTGATTTAATCAGTAGTGTTATTTATTTATTTATTTTAACACATAGATATTGGTACAAGGAGGCACCAAATACACATGCGCCACACACATCTCATTTGATATGTGTGAGGGCTGTGATACTGTCCGGGTGCCCAAACCGAATCAGGTGGTTTTCTTAGGGGACCACACCCGAAGCCTTTGACCTGAACGTCTGATCCATAATGCAGTGGAGCATCGTAAGGAGATGCAGTCCCATGGAAGCCAGCCGGTGACCAACGATTGGTTCATACGCCATTTGTTCTTTCATGATACTGGAGTCAGCCCATGTGTACCATTGGTTTAGGATCCTATTATAGCGCTGAACATTCGCTTTTCGTGCTCTCATTTTCGTAAACAACACCCTTGGTGCGAGAATTCAGTGAATAGGACTTCCCTGGCAGAGGCTGTATACGCGTGGCCATGTGAGAGCATTTGGAGTGGGAGAGCTGACTCTCCTTACTCTCGGCCGTACCAGGGTATTTGGGGGCAATCAGTAGTAGGGTAACAAAAAAAAGAAACATAATTTCAAATGTCATGTTTTCATACTGTTGCTATGGTTACAAATAACTCTATCCATCGATCTTGTTTTCTTTATTTCTATCTAAATCATAGGATTTGTATTAATATAGATGGGAATTGTATGCATTCATTGTAGCTACTTTATCATAGTAGTATATATAGTATAGAATATTTCGTACCAATCCATCTTGAGATTAGTAAACGACTGTTTGCTTCCGCAATATTTCAAGATGATTGAATTATTTAATTATCATGTCAGTTCATTGAATATGATCTTTAAGAGATCTTTATATTAGTTAACATTCATCATTAAGATGTTTATCAATGATCTTCAAAGAATTGACATTTCTTCCAAAAAGACTCAAAATGTGTACCCATTCAGTGATATCAATATTAAGAATTAATCGATTTCAGTTACTATGATTAATTCATGTCATTTTCAGCTTGACAACAACGCCGAGGCTAGATGTATGATTTTAGGCAAATAAAGAAAAAAAAACATGAATCCATTGAAGCTAGACCACCATGGAAAACCTGGAAGCACTGGACGGCCGTTTCGTCCTAGTATGGGACTCCTCGGCAGTGCGCATCCACGATCCCGCTCCTCGCGAGATTCGAATCTCGCGAGTCCCATACTAGGACGAAACGGCCGTCCAGTGCTTCCAGGTTTTCCATGGTGGTCTAGCTTCAATGGATTCATGATTTCAACCAGTGAAATTTCTAAAATCTCCACACAATCCCTTCTGATAAAAAAAAACAGTTGATAGGATTGTAAATCTTCATTGACTAAAGTTTCTATGACATGTATTACATATGCCCAACCACTTCAAATATTAATGTTTAATGTCAAATAGAATAGAAATAGGTTAGATGTAAACTAACGGCACCCAAACATAAATTCATCAAGTTATTAACTGAACCATAGTGAATTCAGACAACCTGGTTACAGTTTACATCATAGCTATGATCAATTAATGGTTGTAGATTTTGCGTTAGAATAGAATGGTTTTATTCACTGATTATCTTCTTCAATATCTTAACTTCTAGTATTTCTTATTACTTAACTTCTTTTTATTTCTTCTTTTTAAATCATATAATCAATCTCTAGTCTTTCTTCTTATCATTAATACTGGTGTGTAACGAAATCTTAGCACGGATACAGAAGGCTCGACTAGCTTTTACCAACTTGCGTCATTTATGATGTAGACGAGATATCCGTCTATCAACCAAAACAACGTGTTTACTGCGCAACGGTTCGTTCCGTCGTACTTTATGGCAGTGAAACATGGCCGGCAAGAGTAGAAGATATTCTTAGGTTACTAGTATTTGATCACAGATGTCTTCGAAACATTGCTCGTATATCGTGGGTCCACCGAGTAAGTAACTCAGTTGTTAGGAAACAGGTACTAGGTAAGAATGACAAATCAATTGATGAAGTAGTGAAACTTAATCAGTTGAGATGGCTGGGACATGTGTTACGTATGCTCAATCACCGACTGCCCCGACGAGCGATATTTTATGGTGTAGGAGTAGGTTAGAAGAAAACTAGAGGCGGCCAGACCAAAACATAGTACAAATCCATGAAGTCACTGACAAGTGGACTGAGTCATGTTGGTAGGTGTAGACTACCTGGTTGGGGACCGCGAGATGATAGCAACTGATGGTTAGAGACCTTGAATGACATGGCTCAAAATCGTTTGCAATTGCGTGGGTGCATCCACTCTCTCCGTTCTCTGAATCTCTTATCTTCTGAATTCTTCATGTTCTTTATTTTCTACCAAATCTATTTCACTGGATTATACTCCTTGAATAACATCATCAAACCCTAATGTTCCTTATTACTACTTATACTTTCACTACCTCTACCACTACGGGATTTGAATCGATAACTGAATCTCTGTGCTAATGTGGTATAGAAACTCGGACTGATGTATGTACGTATGAAGTTCCACGTTGTTACTGACTGACTGACTGACTATTGTTTCGACTTGTTTGTTATACATTTTGTTAATTACATCTTATTGTGTTAATATGGTATAGAAACTTGGGCTAATGCATATTTATACCAGAATCTAGATTCACTAATGACTGATGATTAAACTTTATTGATTCATATCTGTTATATTCTTTTCAATGTATATTTTACATACATAAATATCAGAAGGATTTTTGTGGTGATTTATAGTAATTTCAATGGTTGAAATCATGAGTCAATTGTAACTAGACGATCATAGTAAACCTAGAAGAACTGGACGGCCATCTCATCCTATTGTGAGACTTCTCAACAGTGCACATCCACCTAGAAAGATTTGAACCCAGGGCTTATCGGCCTCACGCGCGAACACAACCTCTTGACTACTGAGTTGGCCGGCATCCAACGGTGTTAATGTCTAATTTCAAGTAATCTTCAATGAGTTACTATCTCACAACAGACCTGGTTGAACTCCACTAGTCACTACTTCTTACTAGAACTCCAAGAAATATCTCTTGATGCCAGTCATTAGTGAGCATATGTTGATTATTATTAGAAGAAGGTTTTGTGGAGATTGTACTAATTTCAATAGTTGAAATGATGAGTCATGAATATACCTACAAGTCAGTCTCATTCTTTATGTAATATCACATAGACAAAAGTTTATTTTGTTAACATTATTATTATTTCTTTTGTTCATACAGGAAACCTTATCGAATTTGTTGGCATGGTTACTTAATTTTATTTTGTTATATATGGTAACCGGTAATCAATTTGTAAGTG